AGGAAAATGGGTGATTATAACTGGGTAATTACAACTTAGCAGTAGGTCAGTTATAGAATCAGACTTCCTTAAAGAAACATCCCTCTTTACCAATGCCTATACAAAGGAATACTGCAATAACGTAAAATCAAAAAGGGTTGAAAAAACCTGGGAGACAAGCCAAGGGATAGAGACTGTCCTTTTTTCAACCAGCACACGAACACTGTAGCTGCTCCCACCGTTCGTGTGCTTCCATCGTTCCTGACAAGGCCAGTCCAGGCTGAGGGGAGATCAAGTTCAGGCTGAAGAGATGCTGGAGGCTGGTACGCCGTGACACCGCAGGATGTCTGACGAGTCAGTCGTGGTCGTACAGTTGTCCCACACCGTCTTCTGCAGGACAGGAGGTCTCACAGGTGCCAACCCCAGTTTTCTTTGCTGCCTCTGAGACACAAAGCCATTACAGTTCTGCAGAGTGCCATTGGTAGCCCATCGCTACTGCGGAAATGTAAAATGTGAGTTTGTAGCGGTGTGCTCACCCAACGCACATCGCCATCGGCTGCTGCAACAGCAACAACCTCGTGGCTCCTCGTGTGAGGCACTTCAGCCCTCTGGGAAATGTCTATATGCAACTATGCTTCGGCAGAGAAAGTATATTGAGGGCTAAGAGCACTGTCTGTATATAATTCTGGATTCAGCATGCACGTAGTTGCTCCATCTGTTCAACCTGACGTATACGAGCAGTAAACTGAGGCAAATATACATGATTAAGTGCTGTAACATGCCACTGAACTACATAAAGCATTTCAATTTACCTATGTGTAGGAAACAAAACCCTGTTTAAATGCCTCCTCTTAGAGAAACTGCTGCTCTCCTGAAACTGCAAGACACGGTGAGTTTTCACCTTTCTCGAGGGCCTGCAAAGCACGGCACTCTTGTCCCGCAGGAGTGCTTGCTTTGCCGGCGTCAGCCCTGAATGCCAAGGGCCTGTGGACATTCCGTTTCCAGTTCCCGCACCTGCAGCGTGACCACGAGTGGGTCGGCAGATGAGTCTTCCCGGCACGCGCTGCTTCCCGCGGGAGCGCGGCGCACGCGGTTCATTCAGCCGTCGTTACCGTGCCGGAACCCCGCTGTCGCCCGAACCATCCCCGGGACAACGCAGCAGGGTAAGCGACGCCAAGTGTTTGCATGCTCGCGTTTCCCACAAACCGCAGAAGGTATTTACAGAAGAGCTGCACAGCAGGAGAGCTCCAGCTGCACTTGTGTCCACCACCAGCCCGAAAAGAGGCGCCTTCGGTGTGACTACTCCTACCCTAGCTGTTGCTTTAGCCGTTCCGCTTGCCGTCGCAGTCCTCATTTCCCACCGTGCCGTAACGCGTTAAATACATGAAGCCACAGTCACTGGACGCTATCTTCCCGATCCTCCTTCAGATTTTCTGGCACACGTGAAGTCTGGACTTCGAAGAGGAGGTCGCATCTTTCCATACTTTGCAAGACAGCCCCTTGGCACAGTCACACCGTTGGAAAATCTCTAGTCCGTGGGAGCCTTTCTTGCGCTGTTTGGTGCACACCTCCCCCTGATGCAACACAGGCTTGCAAATTTTGGTCCAGAAGTGGCGAGCACAGCAGTGCCCCTCAATGCAGTCTGACGACCGCAGGCAGGGATCGCCTTCGTGTCCTGGAAAGAACAACCAAACTGTTTAACCTCAGGGGAAAACGTGAAAGAACAGATTCAGTGCAGACAGAGGCAAATGAAGCTCAGAGAAAGGAGAGAGGACATTTCCGTCTGTGGCTATCTGAAGGATGCAAACACAAGGGAAGATACGGATTAGGAAGGTCCAAGGGGGTAATTAATGAGTCCTGCCATGAGACATGGGAGAAACTCAGCTACAGGTCTGTGAGCAGAATCACAAGTGTGTAATTTCATGACCGGTACGAGAGGAGGGTGTGTGCAGCCTCGCACAACCGCAAAACGGATTGTCAGTCCGTACAGAGAAGACAGCAGAGGCTGGTTCAGTCACGGGAACTGTTGGCTGAGGTTACATCCCTTTTAGGGTCATGCTGTGAATTCTCACGATGGACGTTCACTCCCTGCGAAGTTACTGCCCGTTTCTGCTCTGCGCTCCTCCATCCCGACAGCACAACGCGATGCGTCAGACGAAGGAACAAACGCGCTCTCACCTTTGATGTGCGACAGCTTGGAGCGTGGCCGCCCTAGGTTCTGCCACCCCAAATCCTTGCTGGCGTAATGACCATTCTTCTTGTTGCGTGGCCCTTCGAGCGCGGGGATGTGAGGGGTGAGGATGCTTTCAGTCACTGGTATGCAAATCCCTGCCAGGAAAAGACGGTCAGAGAGCTGAACAAGAGAAAAAGCCGCTGAGAGCCATACAAGGACCAGGACCCTGAAAGTGCTGGGGCTTGGCCTTGGTGACGCTCAGCTCAGTCACAGCCCTGTCCCTGATCCCCTGCACCTTCAGTCTCGCTGTCACTCTGGCTCTGAGCACCTGGAGACCGCCGGAAAGGCCTCTCTCCAGGCCTCAGAGTATGGGAATGCAAACACCATGGTTATCACCCCCCCAGAGAGAGCAGATCAAGGATTTAAGTCTCTGCTTCCTGAAAAATACAGGTTCTGTGCAGCCTTCCAGCGGATCAAACCACACCGAATGCAGCACTGTGATTTCAGGCAGCATTTTTGGGTTTCCCCACCCCAAAATGGGAAGGTGCCTGGTGTTACACAAGCCCTAAACACAGCAATACTGTTAAGGAAACTGGAGTGGCATGAAGGAGAAAATGAAGGTTTCTCAGTTTAGCAAATGAAGCCCGGTCACCCGGGAAACTGGGAACACTCCAGAAATGGATGCTGTCAAAACGCAGATTTTCTGGAGGAGCGCCAGGAAGCGGCTGACGTACCGTTGTTGCAGCGGTTCCCGGGGCAGCACATGCCGTCCCTGTGGCAACGCTTCTTCTTCCGCCGGCACATCATGCAGGCGGAGGGGGCGTGATGGGGACTGTGGCAGTACCGCCCCACTTCGCACTCCTTGTCGTTGGTGCAAGGGTAGGCCTGGTGGGTCAAAGGGAGGTTGACAGTGAGACACCCCTGTGGACACGCTGCCCATCTAAAAACCACCAGCCGCCACCAAAACCCCCTAAATATACACAAAACCCCCACAGTTGAGAGACCATTCACCAGGGCCCGGAGATGGAGGTAGGGATGCTGCTTCACCGCAGCCACGTAGCGACTTAAGCTATTGGGTTTGTACGGTGGGGTTTTGGTAGTGGGGAGGGGTTATGGGGTGGCTCCTGAGAGAAGCTGCCCCAGCTCCAAGTCTGACCTGCCTCTGGCCATGACTCAGCCAATAATTAATGAGTGCCTCCATGATTAATGTAGTTAAGAGGGGGAAACAAAGACAAAGGGCAGCGGGGAGAGGAGTGGGATGGGAGAGAGACCCCAAGGTCAGTGCGGAAGGAGGGGAGGAGGTGCCCGGGGCAGAGCATCCCCACTGCCCATGGGGAGAGGGCCGGCTGTGCCCTGCCGCCGTGGAGGGTCACAGG